CTTACTGACTCTTGTGAAGTCAAGGGACTCCAAATGGCCTTCTGTCTGATAATTAGTATCATAAGGTATAAAGCAGAGTAGGCAGAAAAGAATCAGGCCATGTCCATGTGTGATCATCGAGGGACAAAAGATTCCCAATACAGGAAATTTAGAAGTAGTATGAAATTCAAAGAAAAAGAAGTTGCTCATATTCTGAATTATTGTCCAGAGATATTTTTACTATTTTGACATATTTCCTTTCAGTCTTTTTTCCTATCACTTTTTTCATTAATAGTTTATAAATTCAAATCCAGTTTTTTTTCAATATTCTATCATAAATCTGTACCTTTCTATTAAAAAGGCTCTATACATGTAGTACTACTGGCTGCATACATGTTCTGTTGTACATGTTCTGCATACGTGATGCATTAAGCTTGCTCTTCAGTGTTTTAGTTACTTTCAGTGCTTTGTGATTATAAATAATGCTCCAGTGAACATATTTTATCTACACAGATCTTTATCTACATTTTCAGTTGTTTCTTTAATGAAAGAATTCTGACCGGACGTGCAGACATCTGAGTTCTGCCACCAATTTGCTGTGTGATCTCGACTTGCATGTCAGTTTCCTCATATATGAAACATGTATTTGAGCTTGATGGCCTTAAACTTCTTTCTAATTCAATAAAGACATCGTTCAAGGTAAAATAATAAATTGCTGTGCTGAAGTGGAAGCATGAAGGTGACACCGAGAAAGCTCAAGGGAGGCGAGAGAGCATCCTGGGGCTTCTCTCCTGGAAGACCTCAATTGTCTCTGAGAGAGGTTTTGTTTCCTAGTTCAAGTACTGCCATTTGACCTTCAGCCTCCATCCCTGGTACAGCAATGATGATATATGTTTAAATATTCACAATGAAGTGTAGGACACTGAACATTAAAAATATAAACTATCTTGACCTATTTTATGAATCCATGCACCTTGAGAATGGTTTAGCTACACTGGAAGAAATGATTTCACTACCTGTTTTCATTTTGCCTTGTAATTTATTATTACTTATATTATTTTTATTTTATCAAATGTACATCACAATGGTTCAACAGTCCCCCTTGCCTCCGCCCCTTTCCACTCCCCTCCCCCTTGGAAACCACTAATCACTTCTCAGTGTCTATTAGTCTAATGCTGTTTTGTTCCTTCTGTTTTGTTTTTATATTCCACAAGTAAGTGAAACCATATGGTATTTATCTTTCTCTGCCTGGCTTATTTCACTGAACATAATACCCTCTAGCTCCATCCAGGTTGTTGCAAATGGCAGAATTTCTTTTCTTTTTATGGTTGAATGTTCCATTGTGTCTATGTACTACCTCTTCTTTGTCCGTTCATCTATTGATGGACACTTACAATCTTGGCTGTTATAAATAATGCAGCAGTAAACATAGGGTGCATATGTCTTTTAGAACCAGGGAGGTTGTTTTCTTCAGGTAAATTCCTAGGAGTGGAATTACTGGGTCAAATGGGATTTCTGATTTTAGTGTTTTGAGGAACCTTCATACTGCTTTCCGCAGCGGTTGCACCAATTTGTAGTCCCACAAACAGTGTAGGAGGGTTCCTATTTCTCTGCACCCTCGCCAGCATTTGTTATTTCTTGTCTTTTTGATAGTGGCCATTCTAACTGTTGTGAGGTGATATCTCACTGTGGTTTTAATTTGCATTTCCCTGTTGATTAGAGATGTGAAGCATCTTTTCATGTGCCTGTTGGCCGTCTGTATTTCTTCTTTGGAGAAGTGTCTGTTCAAATCCTCTGCCCATTTTTTGATCAGGTTATTTGCTGTTTGGGTGTTGAGGCATATGAGTTCTTTATATATTTTGGATGTTAACCCTTTATTAGATAGTCATTTATGAATGTATTCTCCCATACTGTAGGATGCCTTTTTGTTCTGCTGATGGTATCCTTTTCTGTACAGAGTTTGATATAGTTCTACTTGTTCATTTTTTATTTTGTTTCCCTTGCCCAAGGAGATGGGTTCAGGAAAAAGTTGCTCATGTTTATATTCAAGAGATTTTTGTGCCTGTTTTCTTGTAAGAGTTTTATGGTTTCATGACTTATATTCAGGTCTTTGATCCATTTTGAGTTTACTTATGTGTATGGAGTTAGGCAATAATCCAGTTTTTCTCTTGCATGTAGCTGTCCAGTTTTGCCAGCACCAGCTGTTGAAGAGGCTGTCTTTTCTCCATTGTATATTCATGGCTCCTTTATCATATATTAATTGACCATAGATGCATGGGTTTATATCTGGGGTCTCTTCTGTTCCATTGATCTGTGGGTCTGTTCTTGTGCCAATACCAAATTATTTTGATTACTGTAGTTTTGTAGTAGAGCTTGAAGTCAGGGACCATAATCCCTCAACTTTATTCTTCTTTCTCAGGATTGCTTTGGCTATCTGGGGTCTTTTGTGGTTCCATATGAATTTTAGAACTATTTCTTTTAGTTAATTGAAGAACGCTGTTGGTATTTTGATAGGGATTGCATTGAATCTGAAATTGCTTTGGGGAGAATGGCCATTTTGACAATATTAATTCTTCCTATCCATGAGCATGGGATAGATTTCCATTCTTTGGTATCTTCTTTAATTTCTCTTTAGAGTGTCTTGTAGTTTTCAGAGTATAGATCCTTCACCTCCTTGGTTAGGTTTATTCCTAGGTCTTTTATTCTTTTTGATGCAATTATAAATGGAGTTGCTTTCCTGATTTCTCTTTCTGTTAGTTCATTTTTGTATATAGGAATATAACAGACTTCTGTGTATTAATTTTGTATCCTGCAACTTTGCTGAATTCAGTTATTAGTTCTAGTAGTTTTTTGGTGGATTCTTTAGGGTTTTCCATGTATAATATCATGTCATCTGCAAATAGAGTTTAACTTCTTCCTTGCCAATTTAGATGCCTTTTATCTCTTTGTGTTGTGTGATTGCTGTGGCTAGGACATCCTTGCCTTGTAATTTTGTGTTTGCTTTTTTGTTTTGCCTTTTCTTTTTTTGCCTTATGAGTTCATTTGATCACAGCAATCATAGCTACATGACCACGGGTCTGGCCTTATCATAGGGGTCTTACCTTATCTGGTAATTGTGTATGACTTTTTCCTCAGGGATACCTCCTTGCTGTTAACATATATTGAGGCTGTATTTCATCTTTCTCTCTTCCAGCCTCTGCCAGTGATAAATATTGCCCAGTGTGGACAGGCTGTAAGTGTTGACTTCACAAAGTCGAGGTATCAGCGTATCACTGCTGAATGGAGAGAGTGTGATTCAGTGTGCCCTCTCTGCTTCTCCAGCCCTGTACTGAATTCGTCCTGGGTGTGTCTTCCTTGCAGGTGACAGTCTTCTAGTTCATAAGCTCCTTTTGGGAGAGGCATTAGAATCTTCTTTGGTTCCTCATCCAGTTGCTTCTCTATGCCCGTCTGGCCAGCAGAATTCTCCGTACAGTGTGGTCTCTCTCTGGCCACCATCAAAAGGCCCTTTGTTCCCTCCCCCTCCCCCTTGGCAGGATGTGGTGCACACCCGTGAATGATGGAAATTCCCCCATCACACCGTAGCGCTCAGCAGCTCTATACAACTAGTTCTAAAAGCAAAGCATCGTCAACCAATAGAAATCTGACCCGTCTTTATCTGGCCTCAGGAAATAAGTTGGGGCTGGGATACTTAATCAAGCCAAGTATAAATTGGATTTAGGGGAAAAATAATTTTGCTTTGTGAATATAAATCCAGCCTTTTCCTGTGTTTCAAGGAAGTAGCTTATGAGATACAATTTTAATGATTATGAGCATCAGTTTTTAGCTTCTGTGCCCACCCCCACCCATTCTGAATGATTTTCACATACCTTTTCTTAAGAAAAACTTGGGTCCAATTATTTAGTGTGAAATAATTTTGTGATGTGAAATAATTTTGTAATGTGAACAACCTTGCTCCCTGTTCAGTAATGGTTCATGAAGCATGTGGTGTATGTGTGTTTAAACATTTTCAGAAAGCAAGGTGCATAGCTTTACTTTATTTCAGCCTCATTTCAGTAAAACTGGTCTCAGGTAAGGGATGCTGACTTTGGGGCTCCCTGACTTGTTTTTCTTGTTCTGCACCTGTTTGCAATCTTGTATTTTCCTTCCCTACCCTCCTCCCTCCTGTTCCAGGGCTGTGTTGAGGCACTAGCCCTGAAGGAACTTGGTAAGAAACACACAGTACACAATTTTTCCTAGGCTTCTAGAATGTGTGTTAGGAGAAGAGGTGCTTCTACCTGTCAGATCTGTTCTGTCTTACTATTTTGTTGCAACCCCCAGACCTTGTGATAATTGTGAAAGGCCATGGCAAGTGGAGACCCAGACTTACCAAGATCTAGCACTTTTCTCTGGAAGCACATACAGTGCATTTCAGACATTTGTTACAAACTCTGAAGTTTCAGGTTTAAGACATAAGGGGTATGTACCTTATAAGCCAACTTAAGGGGTCATAGGAAGACAAAAAATGGAGTGAGAAGAAAAAAAAAAAGGAAACAACTGTCCATTGGAAGAAGGATGGAGATCACCCACCCATTGTCTACAGTCTTCTCCCCTGAGACCCTTGTCGCCAATCATCTGCTTCTTATTTTTAAATATACTTCTTTATTTATTTTTAAATAGATAACACTTTTACTTGGTTTGAAAACTAAAAAGTATAAAGCACCACACATTGAAATTCTCCCTCCTGTGCTGCCCCGCGCAGCCAGTCTCCTTCCTGCTCCAGCCAGGAAGCCAGGCGTCTTTCTCTTGCATGCACTCGTCCTGCCCTCCTTCAGGTGCCCTCATACTCCAGCGAAGGCAAGTATATTACTTTGCCACTCACTGCACTTACCGCCTCTCTCACATCCTTACTTTATGTCCTTTTATTATTCTCTCAGGCGTTCTTTTTTAGAGCTGTTTTTGAGGAGAAAGGTAGGGGTCATTTGTTTTACGCACGTCTGATGCCCTGACCCAGTTTTCATATGTGTGCTTGCCTTTTCCCATAGATGAAGTGGAAAGTGAGAAATGGTACCTGTCTACAGACTTTTCATCAACGACCATCAAGACAGAGCCAATTACGGATGAGGCACCCCCGGGACTTGTTCCCTCTGTCACTCTGACCATCACAGCCATCTCTACCCCTTTTGAGAAGGAGGAGCCCGCTCTGGAAATGAATACTGGGGTATACTCAGGTTTCTTTCATCTAAACAGACTTGATCAAAAGATACAGCTCCTTTTCCTCCAATAAGGCATTTAACCTTTTTGGTAACTGTGTCTGTATGTGTGTACGTATCAAGGAAACATTGATTTGGTGTCAGCATGGATTATATCACTTCCTGTAAAAGCATTGCCCAGAAAAATCAGTAGCAAGTCTGATTTCATTTTTTCTGTGGCTGCTATTACAAAGTACAAGAACATAGATGGATATCCTTGGTAAGAAAAAAAAATTCTCCATGGGATTGACTTTTAAGCCAGTGCAAAGGGAGTGGCTAAGATAATGATAGAGCCCACGGCTTCAGTGTCATGCCGTCAGAAACGCTGGTGCCTGTGTGACATTTCACTTTCCTGTGTGATGCTGAGTTGCCCTGACCCAATCTGGGGATCTCCCCCACCAGTCCTTATTGCACTACCCGTGGAAAACATAAGAAATCGGGATTTCTTCCTTGCTCGATTCCTTACCCATAGCAAGTAGAATTTAGTTTTATTCTACCTTCTCTCTGGGTATTTCCAGTGTCTGGAGATGGCCCAGAGTCATACTCGTACATCTTCTTCCAGATGTTGGGAATCCTAAATTCCCTTAAAGTTCAAAGCCGCAGGTTATGAACAATGACTCTATTTTAGCTCAGCTCTCCTCCAAGCACGGTGTAGTCTGTCTGCCTGTTCAGGAAAAGGTAGCACAGAAGCAGAAGAGCCAGCACAGCCTCTGTGCACACTCGGGCTTTGTGCTCTTACATTCCATCTACGCCAAAGATGAGGGCTTGCAGACAGAACACTCTGAGCTGCCCTCTAGAATTCCTTGATCAAACGCTACCCGACCTGTGTATTGGCATGGGCTCCTGGAGTATGTCTGGGTCTCTTTGCTCCACAGATGGTTAGTTCAGTGGATTTTTAACTCTATAAAGTCAGGGTCATGGTCTTGCTCCCTGCCCACTGGCCAGATACCATTCTCCTATCTGTCCTGAGTATTTCACGGTTAGATGTTGTCAGTCATCAGGAGGGAATGGATGCCGCTTGGTTCACACGTTCCTCCTGCAGGACCAACTGGCTTTTAAACAGTTACTGGACTATTCCAAGATAAAATGCCGTTGCATGACTATAAAAGCAATAGAAAGGAGCCCTGCTAGGTGAGTCCTGGCGTTTAATTTTAGGATGCTGGGGGTTCCATCAGCCGTGCTGCCAGGTTTGGCAAGGCGAGAGAGGTTATTCGCCTGCCTGTCAAAGCAGGAGCCAGTGCTCAGGCGGCAGGGAAGCAGGGCTGCCCCAGAGGGAGGCAGGACAGCCAGCCCCCCCGGGCGGTTTACTGTCACTGGTTTGTAAACAGCGTGTGAAATTCTTCCTTTAGGTTGATTCCTCATGCCAGACGGTTATTCCTAAGATCAAGCTGGAGCCTCATGAAGTGGATCAGTTCCTGAACTTCTCTCCTAAAGAAGGTCTGTCTGCTCCCCCTGTGTTCCTTCCAGCCACCAGGTAGCGTCACACAGTCTGAAGAGAAAGGGAAGAAAGTGCTGGGGTTAGTTTGTACCACAGGCGGGCTTGCTTTATGAGATAGCTCCTTCTTAGAAACCTTGATTCTAAATCAAATTTGGAAAGCTAAACTTTACTTTTCCATATATGTTTATGCTTAATTTCCAGCTGAATCTTTTACTTTACTGTCACTCCTAGCCAGGGGAATTCTTCAAACCTTTTACAGGCAGCGATGCCGTGGACGCTAACGACTGCTGCCCACGCGCCAGCTCCTTGCACGTTGTGACGATCAGTAGAGGCCAGTAAACAAAGATCCACAAAGGCACCTTGCCCATTTAAAACAGCTCTGATGTAAACCCTTTCTAAAGTGAATTCACAATGTATCTGAGTGATTCAGTGTTTTAAATGTTGATTTTAGATAACAGTAGTTTCACGGAACCTCCTTCCTATGTATGCTGTTCATGCTTTTTATTGGGCTTCTTGCCTTTCATGTAGAGTAAAAAAATGTCATACTTGAAATGGTCGTACATTCACTTTTTGCTTTCTCTGCGGCAGGGAGTTTCTTTCCGACTTCTCACTCTTGTTGGGAATCCTGCACGCAGCTGCCTAAGTGTTGTAGAGTCTAGGAAGCTCTCTGCCTTTTTTGTTGAGATGCCCGTGTATAGGTCCTGCTCTTCTTAATTCTGTGCCATCAGACATGCCATCACCTCCCTTTTTATTTATACTTCAATACAAGGTTCCAAGGATGATTCACTAGTGTGGTCAATAAAGAAATCGCAATATGCATTTGTCCAAGAAAAGGCATCTGTGCTGTGGTCCATTCTTAATGTGGAGGTGTTACATGTGAGCAGGTCTATGGAAGCACTGTCCACCATCATTCCATTAGAAACTAATTCAGGATTTGATTTGTGATAATTCAATCAGGGTGGGCATTTGCCTTTGTTATCAGTAAAGAAAGGATTACATTTTTTAAAGTAACAATATTGACTAGAATCCATATTGAGACAGTATTTCTTTTCACGAGTGGTATGTGTTAGTGCCTTTTTGCTTTATATATATTTTAAAGTAATTCCTTTCATTTTTATGAAAACTATCAAATACACCTTGCTCTTAATTTATGTTGCAATTTGCTTCCATAGTGTTGTAACAGTGAATCCCTGTAACAATGAATTCTATAGTGGCTTCAGAGTCTGGGCTCCCTGGAGGAGAAATGTTTCAAAAGTAAATGGCAGTCCTTCCTCATTATCCTAGATAAACAGAGAGAAGGAAAGCCAATATCCTTGAAGGCAATGGAACTTCTAGGCAGAGTAGCTTATTGTCTCCCGCCTTTCAGGAACCTAAGGGCAGCATTCAACTGATACTTAGAAACTTGATACCCAGGTATCCGTGGCCAGGTCAGGAGCTCTTAAAAGAAGGAAAGAAGAAATTCAAGATTACTCCACTTTTCCTGTCAAGCCATTTCTGGTTTTTTTTTTGTTTGTTTGTTTTCATAGAACACCTTCCTTCTGGACAAAGATATTAGAATAATTCGGACTGTGCTGAGTGAAAGTGGACAAGCTGTCGCTAGGCACCCTGGGCTAGTTCTTTAGGATGTTACAGAACAGGGAACAGCAGCCCCTGATGGGTTAGTCTGCTCCTGGTTTTGTCTACCATTGTTAAAAGTAATCTGAGGCGCATTAAAAATGTAGAGTTTCTTTGTGCAAAAATCAGTTCAAATTACAGCACCAACCAGGAAGCGGTTAACCAACCAGGAAGTGGTTAGTAGCACCTCACCTGGGGCTCAGGTAGAGACAGGGAAGCAAAGCAAGGGAACGACTGGCCACAGCTTAAAGCCCAGTTGGCTGCTTGGGACTGGTTTTCCTTGGGTTTCAGTTTGGGATCCTTGAGGCATTCACAGGCATAGATTTTGGTTTGCTTATGTGGGCCACAGGGCATTAGAGCCACCGCAGCCAAATGGCCTCTTTGCTTATTCGCTGAACACCAGAAAGTGCCAGGTACTCATAGCACCGGGGAAACCCTGTCTGACACTCCCAGAGTCCTCCTTGTTAAGCTGCCTGGAATTCTTGGCAGGGGTGTTGGCAATACAGGCATATAGGATTATTGTGGAATATTCTTTGGCTTGAAGAGTGCCCATTGACACTCTTAGAAAGCCCAGGAAGCTCTTAGGCAAGACTTTGGCAAAGGAGAGGGGGAGGATTTAATGAAAGAAGTATGAGAAAAAGAGAAAGGGTTAAAGTGAGAGAAAGAGAGAGAATGTGCGAGAGAGCAGAAGCAAACTGTGTGCCGTGACTAGGAGGGAGGGTGGCAGGCGGGAGTGGCCGAGAGGAACATCACCTGTTACTTGGATGTCAGGTATTGCAGAAGGCGAGTCACCTGGCTGCTTCTGGTCTCTTGCAAGAGCAGCTGTGGGTGGGGTCATTTTTCTTAGGTGGGTCACTGTGTCTCTGAGGACCCTTCCCAACCGTACTAGTCAGATGGTCTTTATTTGAAGAGATGAGAAGGCTGAGGTTTCCATGGCCCCAAGTGGTCCTCTTGCCCACAAGCCCTGGCGTGTGAGACACCAGGCACCTGCCCTGTTCAGAGCCACTGCACTAAGGGCTCTGTTGTGCCGGGGGCCCTGGGAGGGCTGAAAGGGAGAAAAGTTTACCCAGGGTTACATCCTTTGGCCCAATAACAGTGGCCAGTTTGCAAGGTATCTCAGCACAACAGAAATGTCTGCAGGTTTGCCTTCAGGAGCCATCCCTGCTACCCTGGAGACAGGTGCTGGACCTGGGCCCTGGCAGAGGGCGGGCCTCCATCAGGGAGGTGGGGCGTGGGCTTTTGGACGCTGAGGGACTTTGCAGGAGAAAGCCCTTCCTGCCCACCCCTCCACCCCCATTTATTTTCCAGGGCCTACTTATCTATCTACGGCTGGTTTTAGTATTTTCTGAATGAAGAATGCCTGGCGATTTGCCTGTGGTCCCTACCATGCACATTCCTCTAGAAACAAATGAGCTTTTCTCAAAACAGCCACTGGGAACCCTCCTGAGCCCCAGGCCTTGCTTTTTTATTTTTTAAGTTTTTTAAGCACTTAATAAATTCACAGAGTTTGCAAGTCAAACTACAGAAACTATATGAAATGAATGCAGTAAAAATTTACACCAGCACTGTCACTGTCTACCCTACTTTCCCCTGCCCCTTTTAGGTCATCATTTTATGTTTCTTGTATTTTCCAGTGGTGTCTTATGGTGATATAATAAAATATGAATCTGTATTCTCTTTCTTTCCTTTTTCGTACAAAGGGAGGGCTACTCAATATATCTGCCCGGCACCTTGATCATTTCCTCCATCTTAACAATACATCTTGGAGATCTTTCCATCTAGCACATGGAGATCCCTCATTCTTTTGCGCAGCTGCGCTGTATGGATGAATGGCTGTCTAACTTCCCCGCCATCCTGTTTCGTTGCTCTCTGACGGGTGAAATGCTTTCTTTCCTTCAGCCTCCGTGGAACACCTGCACTTACCTCCCACCCCGCCCAGCAGCCACAGCAGTGACTCGGAGGGCAGCCTGAGTCCCAACCCTCGCCTGCACCCCTTCGGCCCGCCTCAGGCCCACAGCCCAGCCAGAGCCGCAGTGCGGGCCCCCTCCGCCCTTTCCAGCTCCCCCCTCCTCACGGCGCCTCATGTAAGTATCTGGCTGGCATCTCAGGACATGAGTCCTTCCCGTTTCGTCGCTTGCAGCTTCACCCAGAATTGGTGCCATTCAAGGCCACTTGATTTTTATCCCTGTGATGAGGTTTTTAGTTTTAGTTGCTATAACAGGGTGATAACCTTAGAGAACATTTTTAAAGAACTGCCTCTAACCTCGTCCTGTGAACCCAGCTCTCTTCCTTTCTCCTGTGCACGCTTCCAGTTTTTCTTCACATGTTATGTAGCTGTTCGCATGAGGAATAAAACTGTTGTGTCGTTTTTTTCCCTCCTCAAAATTGTATCACAGATATTTACCATCAGTTTGGGCGATCTTTATGACCCTCAACAGGAAATCACTTGTTTTCTAAATAAGCAATCTTTGATGAATTAAAAAATCTCTCAGATTAAATGCTTTGCTGTCTGATGCTCCAGAATAGAATTTTGCTGTTTTTTTGTCTGCAAGTGGAAGATGGGAAGCGATCCCTGGTGTGTAGAGAGCATCTTGCAAAGCTGCATTTTCAGGAGAGCAATCGAACTCATTTCCACAAATAGGGCTCCCAGTGAATCCTCATCCCTCCAAGGCCAGGAAGGCCTAGGGATGTGGGAAATGAATTTTGCACTTTTACTTTTGGTGTTTTAGCTCATGGGGTACTGTCTGGGAAAAGACAGGTGGAGGTTTCATTACTCTTCCCTTTGAATTGTAATCTGGGGTCATAACACTCACATAAGCGTGTCTTCCCCTCCTTGGCTTCCACTTGAAAGTACCCATTTCCTCTCCAGAGCAGAAGGGTATCCTTATCTCTTAACCCTGTACAGGTATTATAACAGGTTCTCCTGCCCTCAGGAGGTCTTTCTCCACTGGGCCCACTTGTTCTGCTTTGATCCTTTTCTGCTTCTTGGTCTGCACAGAAACTGCAGGGGTCAGGCCCACTGGTCCTGACAGAGGAGGAGAAGAGGACCCTGATCGCCGAGGGCTATCCCATCCCCACCAAATTACCCCTCACAAAGTCAGAGGAGAAGGCCCTGAAGAAAATCCGGAGGAAAATCAAGAATAAGGTGAGCCCTGCAAATCCAGGCACTTCTGTGAGCAGAGACCATGAGCAGAATTGAGCCTCCCTTCCCAGTGGCCCGTGGTGGGGAACAAGGCTCAGCCCTTCCCTTCCCCTTGGCCAGAAGTAGGGCCACAGTCCCCACTCACCCCTGTTGTCCTCCAGTTCCCCCAGCCATCCTCTGGGTCAGTGGACTCCCACACTGGGTGTGCGTGCTCCTTGGTGTCCAAGATGGTCCATTCAGGGAGGAAAACATTAGCACTCCTGCTTAAGTTAAATTTTTGAATCTCAACCTTTAAAATTTTTGTTTTATGATGTATATAATATTTCCCTCTAGTAGCTATGTATGTAATTTATAAATCAATACATCATGAGTGCTTAATTTTTTTTTCTTGATTGGGTTTTTGGTAAAACAAAACAAAAAAAACCTGCAGACCACTGTCCAATACCTGAATTCAGCAGTCTCCTAGTCCTAGACCCCTACAATGCAAATCAGGGCAGGTGAGGTTCAGGGCCACGGCTGAGACATGGGCAGAGAAGGGGGATGGAGGCAAAGGGAAGAAGGTAGAGCTTTGTTAGGGCTCTTCCTCTGTGAGCAGGACCATCGGGGCGTTTATATGTGACCGCGCCCACCTGTCTTATGTTATATATAATAGTTGAGCCGGCTGAGCTCCGCAGAGTTGGCATCATCTGTGTAAAGGCCCTACTGATGGTCTGTGACTCGTGTGTTCCACTCTCACTTCCGACCCTCTGTCCTTCCTACTGGGCGCCTACTTTGGTGGAAAGTAGGTGAGAGCAGAATCTGGTTGAAACCAAGGAGGACAGAAAAAGTGATTAGTAGATAAGCAGCGGCTAAAGAAATGAGGAGTAGCCAAAAAAGGAGGAGGGCTTTGGTGGTTTCTGTGCCAAGGCTCTCCTCCCTAACATTTGCACATCATCGGGTTACTGATACAGCTGGAAATTAATCCTTTTTTCTCCCCATATATCTTAGATTTCTGCCCAGGAAAGTAGAAGAAAGAAGAAAGAATACATGGACAGCTTGGAGAAAAAGTAAGCCTCCTGCCGAACTCCCTGTGTTCACTGGGCAATATGCACAGAGAAGTATGAGAGTGGGAAGCATCTATTGTCCCTGAGAAGCAGATGGAGTCTTCATTCCGGCTGCCACGAAAGCCCGTTGTTTATCAGCTATGTTTTGCCTGCCACCTAGCGGTCTTTAGAGGGAAAGCTTAGAAATATGGCAAGAAGCGAAACGTACACTCAGTCTTATCAGGCGTTTCCAACCAAGTTCGTGAAAGTGTTTCCTTTCGAACAAGTGCAAATATGATGTTCCTTCACATTTCTAGAACTCCTCAGAGGAGAGGCAGTGCTAATTAATCAGTTCCCACTGGCCACATTCCCTCACACCCCAGAGAATACAAATGGAATGAAGTAGGTCAGGTTGACGTTATTGATCTTCTGTCCACTGTAATTCATGGTGAGTGACTTTTCATAAAAACACCTGAAGGCACCTTTTTGTTCTTCTGAATAGTCTTGGATAGCAGGAGAGCTGTAAGAAAAACATTTCTTATGTACAATTTCTTATTTGCCCTAGAAAATAGTTCTCTAGCTGACAAACTAATATCGTTGTAAGATGGAATGAGGCCCCAGACCCAGAGATAAATCTTCATGTGGGTTTGGGGAAAGGAGTGGTTGGTGGAACCTGGCTGGTTCTTGAAGTTCCTGCTGACAGCTCTTATGTTTCTGCCTCTTGGTTTAGGTATTGGTAATTCAGCATTAAGTAGTCCCATTCTGTTCCGTTATCTTCTGTAGGCATGTGCCCTGCCTCTTGGATTCCTTGTCTTGGGATCTGGGTTGTTTTCCACCCCTCGCGCCCCGCCCCGGGCCCTTGGCTTCTTGCCTGTCCTTGTGGCCAGGTGTACAGACTTCTGTGGTAGAGGGGGAGAAGTATGAGGGCACTGAGAGCTGTAGGGAGGAAGTGAGGTTGGCATTAAGGCTGGAGCACCTGAGAGAAGTGTATAGTCGGTACCACCCTCTTCATTTTCCATCACTCGTCACTCATTTCTATTTTTTTTTTTTCTTTTGTCTCCTCATCCTCCTTCCCAAGTCAGGTGGCCAAGCTCTTCCCTTCACCTCCCTGGAGCAGCCAATTCCCAGTCCTCCTTCTCTGGACCCCACCTCCCTCCACCCCAGCTCCCCACTGAGCGTTGGCTCTACTGATACGATGAACATTCTTCTTTCTCTTTTGTAGGGTGGAGTCTTGTTCAACAGAGAACTTGGAGCTCCGGAAAAAGGTAGAGGTTCTGGAGAACACCAACAGGTGAGTGTGGCTGGAGGCAGGAGCCGATGGAGGATGGGGACAGAGTGGGGCCAACCCAGGGCCAGAGCTGGGAGAAAGTGAGGTCATACCAAAGGTGTGGTCGTGCCAGGGTGCTGGGGCAGCCATGCTCCACCCACCTGCTCCTGCCACACCCACGTACCTGCACACATGAACACTCCACATGCATGCTCTTTACTTTTCCTAAAATACCTGGGATTGAGAAAGTGGCTGCTTCTGACAAAGGTTATAACGGGGGGTTAAGGAACAGGCCTGGAGTAGAACAAGGCACATTAAGTCTGATTCTTCTGAAAATAACATCAAACTATAGGGCAACAAGGATGGACTTCATTGTCATTCAAATTTATTAATAACTGATCTTATTTAGTGGAAAAAAAGAAGAGAAAACCAAGGTCGTTTTTTTTAACTACTATTTTTAAAAATTAGTTAATTACATTTCAAACCCATCTTAAACACTAACTATAGGACAGAGTGAGTTAACAGCTTCCTCTGCCACTTCCCGTGCCAGGCACTGTATTCAGCACTTTACAGATATTAATTCATCTAACCTTTCAGCAACTCCACGGGGTAGTCCTGTTACTATTCCCTGCACGCAGAGGAGGTAATTGAGACTGAAAAAGGTGAGGTCACACAGTACATGCCAGAGCGGCGTTTGAATGCAGGCAGTCTGGCTCTGGAGCCTCAGTGTAGAGAAACACACTGTGCTTTATCCTGAATCATATGCAAGAGAAGAGGTTAAGGTTTAGGGTTAAGAAATCAGCTTTTGGGGAGTTTCACCAGAACGCACATGTTTATGTATGAACTTGGAGCCCATCTGTGCTTTAAAAATTAAAATGTTTGTTAAGGGATCCCGTTGCTCTTAGTTGTTATAGATCTGACAATTCAAGCAGAGAAAAGTTTTCTTTTAGGTAAGCAAAATATCACTTAATTATTTTAAGGCTTAGCATTAATGCAAATAACAATTTGGCACTATTAAAGGATCAGGTTAAATCTATTTGCATATTTTTGATGGTAATATTAAATTGGGCTCCCATTTCCTAAATCTTCATGGTTTGTTGCTCAAATGCAGGCTAACCTGGTCCTAAGTTAAAGCCACTATCAATGGGACTATTAGACATTGTGACCTGCTGCATTTCTGGGAACATGCGCTCAGACAGCAGGTCACAAGGGCAGCCGCCTCAAGGGCTCTGCGGACAGATGACCCTTGTAAGTAAACATCCTCTGCTCCGTGTGGTGTCACCTTGATCCCTGAGGAGGAGACGGCTCCAGTTCCACTGCAGGGTTCTGGTTTCACAGTTGTCTTTGTCCATGGCTCTCCTGAGGCCTCCTCCCTTTTTACCTGCACCTTCACTGCACCTTCCCTTTGCCGGAGTGGTTCTCTGGGTCCTGAACCCCCACCAGAGCCCATGTCCATCTGGTTGGCATCTGGAGCAGATAGCGTTCCCATATCCATCTTGGCACCTGCTGCCGCAGAAGCCCCGTGTTCATGAGTGGGGCAAATTCAAGCCATAAATTGGTGAAAAGGGGAAATAACTTGTGAGTTTGGTCCAGGTTGAGGCTCGTCTCGGGGCTCTGGTGTCAGGCTCTCCTGCGGCCACACGGGGGCAGCAGAGGTGCAGCACGAGCTCTGATCAGGGCTCCCCCCCATATTTTATTAAACTAAAAAAAACCCCAAAAAACTCACACATGTAAATATATGCCCACTGTAGAAAAAAATGAGAAAATACTTTTTAGAAAGAAAAAAAATCACAATCATATCACCCCAGAGATATGTTTACATTTTGGAATCTTTTTTATGTATGTATTTATATTATCCATCCTTTTTTCTTAAGAACTTTTTCCATTTAACAGAATCCACCAGACAGTAGATATATATCTATCGGTAGATGTATTTCTACAGAATCCTTATTTCTGTCAAAATTTTGATTAAAAAGCTACCATCAGAGGACCATGGACATAGGCACATCTGATTCCGTATAACAACAATGTGTTCCTCGAATTGCTTTTATCTTTTTAAATAATGGCCTTAGCGATTTACGTCTGATCTCAGTTGTTGTACAATACGAGTTATGGAGACATAAGGCATATTTGGCTTGGGGTCAGCATATCTCATGTTCTTCCCTGAGAGTCCATGGCAGTTTCCCCTCTGTCTTGTCTTCTTCCCTGACTGCGGGGAACCTTTCCCCAGTCACTCAGCATCTTGGAACCTACACTGAAACAGAAATCTACCTCGTGCTGTTGGTGCTCTGTCCCTTGACTGCCCTGTGTGTCTCCTTCCTCTTCAGGCCTTACCTCCCCTGCTCGACGACCCTTTTGAGGTGGCAATGGCTCATAGCCTATTAATCTGTAATCTTCCCACAGATAATCTTACCAAGGGACTCCTAGGATCATAATTTCTAAGTCCAGCAGCTTTTAATGTGTTTTGGCTTGAGAAGTCAGAAATAGAAGCAGGGCTGCCCTTGCTGAGACTGGGAAGGTGGGCCTCTACCCCCAGCCTCTTCTTCCCGTATTCTCCTCTGTCCCTGCCCAGGGCCTCCCCTTACTCAGAGCACAGAGTAGCAACCAAAGTGACTGTAGTGTAAACCACAGCAGTCTCCTGCCTAACCCAGTCATGAGGAGTTGTTGTTTGGGGCATGTGGTAAGGAGGGACATCCCCTCACCCACGTGAGTGACCCAGTGTTTGAACTGAGCACAGGGCTGGGCCTAATGAACACACACCTGTGTTTGTGTTCCTGTTCCCACTTCTTGGACTATTGTCTGTTGGAGGTAGCAGACAGAGAGAGAAACAACTGCTCTAAGGGGACAGGATTCTGGGTCACCAGCAGTGGGGTGGGAGGCCCTGGAAGCCATTGCCTCATAAGGCATGATATGGCAGGAAGGTCATTTCATCGTTGGCCAAATTTAAGAAAGGTTGTACCTCTTTACCTTTTACCACTTCCATGCTACTCCCTGCAAGGGACTTACACGTCTATCCAGATGAAAATGACTCAATCCTGAATCTTTCGGTTTTTCATGGATTCAGCACCAACCACAGAGCATATCATTGGTTTCTAGGTGAAAAGACCCTTTTATCTAAGCTCAGGAAACTGAAAGAGGATGGAGACAGGAGAGGAGATGATGAGGAAGTCCTCTTAGCTTTCTGCAGCCTTACTACCCCACTCAGCCCCTCAGAGCAGAGCCAGAGCAGTGTGAAAGCACCTTCACACCTCTTCGCTAAGGTGATCCACTAATTGCATGCATCAGGAAATGTGTGAGATGAGAGAGAGCCGGCTTCCCAGGGGGCCGTCTTCCTATAGTCCATCAGAAAATACATTTTCACTTACAGAGTCAGGGTAAGGCCTGCGCGTGGCTGTGGGAGGACCCTCCTGGTCCTCGCCTATCATTCCCCTCTCTAAAGCGCAGGCTCTCCAGATGGCCCTGCCCTTGTCTCATTCCAGGGAAACCTCGGCTTGCCTTCTCTATTGCCCTCTTCGACACAAGTGATACACACGTGCTGCCCAGCCCTGCAGTTTTAGATGTTAGTGACAATGCCCCTCTCATTTCTTACTTGGCCCTCCCACCTCTGTAGGACTGTGAATGCCAGACCCTGTCTTCCAGTCCTGATTTCCAGAGCCTTAGGGGCTTAGACTGGAAATGCATGTTAGAGGTCATCTCATTTAACTGCTAATCAATTCATTTTACAGAAGGGAAAACTGAGGCCTGGTGAAGTTATGATCTTGCAAACATTTAGAGCCATTGATCCTTACCTTGGTTTCTCTTCTGCTTGCCCCTCTGCCTTTTGAGGGCTGCCGTCTTTTCCTGGCACAGGGCTAACTTTAGACCTGAGCAAGAGGGCCTTGTTTTGGACCTTGTGTTTTTGAGGATCCTGGCTCTCCTCTAGCCACCTGCCTCTGTGGGATAAATAGTCAGGAGGACCCAGGGGATGCATCTTTCTGGAGCTCTTAACTTACTCCTTCAGAACGTAATGGTACCTGGACCCTGGAATTCCCTGCCTGAGGGCCTTAGCCATTTTCCAGGGCCTGTGTGGAACTCTGCCCCAAGGCTGTTCTCCAGACGGTGGACCAGGCCATCAGAGACCACCCCTTAAGCCAAATGAGCTGGCCAAAGACAGCTCTTTGTGAGGGCTGGGTATGGAGTTTGAACCTTGGTAAGTATATGCCTGCAGTGCTTCACAGTGTGTCCGCTCAGGGATTCAGTTTGATGGATCTCTCAGAAGACGTGAGATTCTTAGGTCAGAGACAAAGGACTTTGTTACTCACAGCACAGCAAGCAGTGTGAGCATCAATGTATTTGCCTAGGTTCTCCCTGCCCCCAGGCTCTGTCATGGATCTGAGTGGACGCTGTGCTCTCGAGCAGGTTTGTGTCACAGCTAAGGAACCCTGAGCTTGAGGAATCTGCTATTTTTAGATCAAGCAGCAAGTAAGTCTGCTTTTTGCCCGAAGGGAGACATTACCTCATCTCTCAAGGTTGCCATCTTCAGAACATGTTGTGGCTGATGGAGAAGAGTGGTCAGGGCCTGGCAGTCCTGGCACATCAGTAAAACATGTAGGAGCACAGGAGACTCAAGGAAGACTGTTCACCAGACTGGTGTGGGGCAGAATCAGGCGTGGGAAGAGAAGGTTGCAGGCTGTAGCCTGGGGTAGTTCTGCCCATCCCATCCCATTTTGGTGAGGATTAATGGAGAGCCCAAGAATTCTAACATAAACCTGGCCTTGGAGCGAGTTCCAGGGAGCAGGTTTTGGGGGCATCTGTGGGCAGAGTCAGCCTGGCTTGGGGTAGGTTGGATGAAGAGAAACCGTAAGATATGTGGTATGTGGGCCTCATCTGTGCTGTCCCCAGACCTCAAGACAGAGGAGACAAGTGTGTCCTGACATGCATCTCTATTCTTATCAGAAATGAGAATTCTTTAATTTTCCTCTTTGAAAACGTCCTAATTTTCCTCTTAGTTCTACAGGCATACCCCAGAGATAGTTCCACTTCTG